AGAGAGAGAGAGTAAAACCACTACACCAGGATGTGGGCTGTTTTTTCTTTCCTCCCTTTTCATGTGCTTTCTTTTATTGGGCTTGTAGTTTTCTCTTTTGTCATCCTTTTTTGTATTCATCTTGATCCCTCACACTGTTTTCTTCTCCTTGGTGTCTAGATATGATTAACCTCAGTCTTGTTGGTTTTTTATTTATGTTGACGGATACATTTCCTCTGATATGAGATAAACGGGGAATCCACAGTAAGTGTCTTTGATATACAAACTGGGACAAATCCGGTCACGCAGAAGCAGAGAAAATGCAGACTTGAGGGTAGAAAGTCCTCACAAAAGTTCTCATCTGCCCACCCATTGTGCTGTGATTGGTCTAAGGCAAAGAAATGTAAAGCAACATGCTGACAGCGGTTTTCCACCGCTGGTGAAGTGTGGACGTAATGTCAACCTCAAATCAAAACACCATCACCTAAAAATACTGTAAAACAGATAACGGATTGTTCAAAACACTGGCAAACTATCATCTTTTGGTACCAAACTCGCCCCTCTGGATGTTTCTGAAGTTAAAATGCTAGCTATGGGGTTTTATTTGCCCAGATAAAGGTAGAGATAAAAGGTGTTCCCTAACAATAGCAAGTGTAAAATTTCCTGTGGTTTGAGCCCACGTGCCAATAGAAATATTGACGTTGTGAATAACAAACATGTCTAGCGTTTGACAGTGGAGAAGTGAGGGGGATTTTACTGTAAGTAACAGTTCCATCTCTTCCTCTGCCCACCCTTCTGCCTGTTTTACTGTCTGTTTTTGCAGTTAAATCCTAATTACTATTTGGTTTGGCTTTCATTTGGAAATTAATCTGAAAAATTGCAAACAGATTCTCTTTAAATGGTAAAATTATATGTAAATTCATTAAGCATTAATTCATGTGTTTACAGAAAAATTGTGGAACAACAGAAAAGAAAGAGATTTACCCAAAAGTACAGAGAATTGCACATGACATGCAGAAGAAAAAATATGTATTGTGGCAACAAATTAGTTTGTGTGATTTAAAGATCAGTCTGTTCATCACACTTCAGCTTAAAATAAGATTATGTGATTTTGTTTTTCTTAGAACACTTTTTTCATATTAAAGAAGAGCTATTCTAATTCAAAGGGGAAACTGATTAAAGAAAATTTCCGGTTATCACTTGCAAAACATACACATAGACTATATATTAAAACAGGCTGCACAGACATGTCTCATCAGGCTACTAAATTAACAATAATGCATCTGAAAGGAAGCATTATTGATACAGCCAGATGTGTCCAACACCTGTGTTATAAATCTGTGTAATTCAAGTGAAGCATTTAGCTGGAGGTATTGAGAGGGAAGGAAAGGAAAAGGTGAGCAAAGGTGTATAGAGAGGAAACAGTGCATGATTCCTGCTGGCGTTCTCACATACGGGTGGATCTGCAGGAACACGAGGAGCACGTATCTGCCTGTTCAGCTGGCATGGGATTCGGGAATCTTGGAACGCTGAGTTTGCCAAGCGGCCTGGCTGGCTCCATGCACAACCTTTTTAGCAGCTGCCAGGTCTATGAGTTGGCGGTCAACTAGTGCACGACACGGTCAGCGAGGGCAACAACTTTGAGAAGCTGCCAGAACAGAGCGACTTCCCTTTTCGCCTGTTTATAACAGCTATAAGAGAACTATGAAGGCTGGATTGAATCCAAAAGTAAAAAAGTAAAGTCGTATCAAAAATGAGTCAGACGTTAATTTTATTTGCCAGTTTAAAATGCATTAATACTACACAAAGTAAAGGAGAACTTGAATCACTTTCATTCTAAACACACACACTCAGATCTGTGTAGCCAGGCATTAGCCGATCAGATAACAAGATTAAATGAGTGATATTCTGTCCTGCAACAGTAATTGGCGATTAGCTGATAACGATATATTAAGGCTTAATGGGCTGGTGCTATTTATAAACCATCATTGACGATGAGACAAGATTCTGTTAGCGCACAATTCACTCAGTCTATATTTATTTTATTTGATTATTTATTATAATTATATATTATAAAATATCATTTTTTTGTTTGTTTTTTTAAGTTTAAAACATCTAAAAAACCGTTGTATATGCACTATTAATCTGCTTAACATTTTTACTTGATCTGTTATTGATGTTGTAATTAGAAAGAGTGAAAAATTTAAGGGGGTCTGAATACTTTCCGTACCCACTGTATGTTGAATAAATTTAATTTTGTCTAAAAAATTAGTTTGGAATCTTTGGCTACTTTCTCAAAAATGTGTTTATGACAGCCAGTTTCTGGGTCAAAACGACTCAAAATTATGGAGCAGTACATATACTGTGTATTTCATCAGATTGAATTCTGGTCCATTCTTTATTTCTTTCTTCATAAAAACATAGCCTTGAGCACAAAGTTGCTTGTGAACAAGAAAAGTATGTCTTACAGTCCACTTTTTTTTCTGCTTCCTGTCAGCTATCTTTTTCTGCCCTCCTATTGGATGCCTCATGTGTTGTGTAGTTTCAAATCTATTTAGGTGAGGGTAAGTAGGGTAACCAGTGGCCTTAACTTGCTGCCACATCTTGGTTAAAGATTAGTCAAACCGATACTATTGAAATGAGTTGTTGAGGTTTGTAAGAGTCGTTATTGTGCCCCAGGAACGTGTATTGTGACACCCACGTCCATTCAGAATGTGAGTGTTTGAATGAATCAGACATGTCCCATATATAGCTTACAGTCCCAGCATGATGAAGACCTGTATGGATTAAAAGACAAATGAATTTACTAAAGAATGCAAATTTAAATACTTTCAATTCCTACAGGAAACATTCTATAATGTTTTATTTTTACTCTGCAGGTTATCTTTTATTTGTTTATGAGCTGTATTTGTCTACTCTAGAGATTTGTCAATGATTGTTTTATGGAACATTTGCTTATGAGGAACTGAAAACTTTGCTCCTTTCAGTACTAAGAAATGGATGCAAAAGGTCAGGGGCGGTTCTGGGGGGAGCCAGTGGGGGCCAGTGCCCCCCTGCCAACAAGCTTGGCCCCCCCATGGCCCCCCCTAAATTTGGAATCATATCACACCAAACAATTGTGGGTGAAATGCGCAGTTTGTCCTGTAAACTATGCATATAAAAAAAAAGAAAAACATCACCAGTAAAGCACTGCGCATTATAACCAATCCCATACTATTATGTTGAGTTTATGATTACAAAGACCAATCAGAGGCGTTCAGATGAGTCACCACTGAAACACGCTGTTTCGTCACTGCGCGCGCTGGCTGAGTGAAATCTCTGGCTAATTATCGCATCAGAAACAACAAAGTGAAGATGTACGAATGTAAGTAAGATATTAATTTTACAGTGTAAACAGCTTTAGAGATTATTATGGGAGTTTTTGAGAGTGCTTGAATTCGCTGGACTGAAGTGAAAATGTTCTTTGATAATGTAAACGTTATTTGCTCTCTTTTTGTACAATGAAAGTGTTATAGTAATTTACAATGTTTTCATTAACTTCACATTAAATACAAAGGCAGTCGTATTAAATATATTTAATGGTATGACACCATATCTGGTACTTAAGTAAAAAGACGAATTTTTATGCAAAGTTAATA